TTTTTATGTATGTTTGTGGAGGATGAAGGGAGAATAATGAGGTATTTATATATAGCCGTGGGACAATGTGTGTTGGCTGAATTACTAAGTGGCCAAGATACAATTTTCCCCATTTACTGATTACGACAGATGGGCATTCAAGAGGAAAAAAAAATGAAGAAAGTCTCAAAAATTCTTGATTCGTAGAACTGCTATTCACACCACACGTGTGTCCGTAAAAGAGAGGAAAAAAACAATTTTGAGGACTTTGATAATATTAATTTATTGCGAGTCAGAAATAACGGCTGTGTTTAGAGTTAGTTTTATTTTTATTTTTTTACGTTTTTTAAGAAGAAAAAAATAAAAATAAAAGAGAAACGATGTTTAACACAATTAAAGATAAAAATAAAAATAAAAATAATTTTTTATTTAGTATAAAATAGGAAAAAAATAAAAAATGATTTTTAATTATTTTTCATTTTTTATTTCTATTTTCTTCTCTTTCGAACACAGAGAGAGACATTAATAAATTTTTTTATACTGAAATCTCTTAATAAAATTACTAAACGCATTTTTAAAAATAATTTCTATCTAACATTAAAAATATTTTTATTTTTATTTTCATATAAAAAATAAAATTATTTTAAAATAAATTCTAAACACACGATATTTTTTTTCTTACAATATTGTCTTTTCCCTCCAAGTACTCTATTACATGTTCCGACCATGCAAGCAAGAGGTCCTCCACTTAAATACAATTATATTAAATGGAATCACATCAGGCCAAAGTAATGTTATCCAATTCAGTACAACAGTTCACCATCTGACACTCCAAAATGATTAAGTTGGTGTAAGCTGGTTGTGCGCACGTGTTTCGATTAAACTAATTTGAGATTAAAATCAAACGATTCTCACAACCACAAAAGCGCGTGAGTTCACAAATTGACGCTTTCAAATGATAAAAAAAATTGGTGTAAGATTGAAAGTAGACTAATTTGCGTCTTGATTACTCTCAATTATGTAAATACTCCAACAAAAATAAAAATAAAACTCATTGGTACAAGTAAGGACTCGTTCAGTCTGTTAATTTAAATTTTTAATTTAAGTTGATATGTGACTTTATGTGAGAATTTTTTACTGTAATAAAAAATTAGATTTGATTGTTTTTTAAAATTTTTTACTGTAGTAAAACACGAATTCTAAACTCAAATCGGTGAAATGAACGGGACCTAAATATCATGAACTTTTAGCTTTTGGGTCCAATCGAAGATAAGAAATTTATGAGATGTTTAGTTAGAGGATTCAAACCATGATTTGAATCATAATTCATGGTTTACTACAGTGTTTTTTCTCACAAAAAATAGACGTAAATCAAAAATAATTTTAATCACATGATTCTAATCCATGAACCGAACGTCTCTAAACTAAAAAAAAAAAAAATGTAAAAATAAGAGGTAAAACTATTCTGATGGCTGCACAGAAGACTTGTATAGCAAAGGGAAGTCAAGGTCCATGGTCCACATGGCCCGACAAGCTCAACATCTCTTTGCTATGGAAAAATATAAGCCCAACCACTGTCTCACTTCTTATGTTAGTGCTTTTATTGTCTCCTGTGAAAAGGACTTAAAGAGCACTTGCACGTATGAAACGCAGAAATGTTGGTAAAGATGTCTTCTTATAGTGAAGGCCAAAACAAAAGTGGAAACAGCATCAGATGAAGAGGATTATATTTTAGCATGCAAAACATAAAGCTCTGAATGCACCATTTAACTGAACAAGCACAAGTATAACATATATATAACACTAAGGTCGCACTTTACTGTTTTTTGAACAGTAAACTGCTTTTTTGCCCCTGAAGATTTCTCTTATTTTTCTTTTTTTCCCTTGTGAACAGTAAGTTATCTTTGTTGCTCCTGCATATTTTTCTTTTTTTCCTTTTTTTTTCCCGGATTGTGGACTCCAACTGGCTATTATGTTGTTTTTTTTTTTTTTTTTTTCCTTTTCTCCTCTCCGAAAACCTCGCTCTCTGGAACTTTCTTTCTCTCTTTCATTTTTATATTTTCTTTCTCCATATTTTTCTTTTCCTTGCAGTTGTAATTTGGAATTTTGTTTTATGATTAATCTTTTTTTTTTACAAGGACTCTTACAGTTTGTTTGGGTTTTAGTTCTGTAAGCGCATCAGCCGTTCAAATTTTTATGTTTTGAAGGTTTTTATGATGATAAGGTAAGAAAAATTAAATGTCTACATTTTTATTTTTTTCTTTGATGAGCTAAATTTTTTTATTCAATTTGTCGGGATAAAGATCTAGCTTTTTACTTTTTTTTCTTATTCTGATCTTTGTTCACAACGTTATTAATCGATATACCCTCTGATCTTTTTCCTATTCTTTTTGTTTGTAACATTATTAATAGGTATGTTTTTTATGTGGTTTTTACTGTGGTATCATGTTTATATTTTCCTTCGATACGTGTTTTTCTTCTGCTGTAAATCTCTATAATACATATCTTTTCTTTTACTGTCTGTTGATTATTGATTTCGTTTTCGTTTGGTTTTCATGCTCCGTGACACTTGTTGTTAGCGAATCATTATACCAGTTTAGGTTTGTTTTGAGCCATTGTTATCTAATAATGAGTAAAAATTTGTTTTCTCTGTATATAAATAATGTGTTCTACTGTATTGTTGCAATTTGTCATCATGTTTCTCTTTTCATTATTTGACTATAATAATCTACTCTTTTCTACCTTTTCTGTTTTCCTACTCTTTAACAGATTTTATTTATATTAGACTTCTATTAGTATCTTTACTGTTTTGTGAATCTTAGGTTCATCTGTTTGCCCTAGCCAATTTTGGATATTGAATTGTTCTATTTGCTTCTCTCTATTTTGGAGTTTTAGTTGTTCTGCTCTGTCTACTTTGTCCATTGTTCTCCTTCGACTGAGGTATTTATTGCTTAATTTGTACATATTTTTATGTTTAATTGTTTCCATTTTCTTTATAGTATTTTGGTTTTAAATCTGTGAATATAATAACATACCAATCTTTATATTATTTGTTCTCTTGTTTAGTGGCCAGTTTGTTTTTTCTTAGAGTTTTGTTGTTCTCTAGTGATGATGATGTATTTTTCTTTTGTTGTTGCCATGTATCAGGTAACTCTTAATGATGATTTAGCATTTTTTTGATGTTGTTTGAATTATTTAGGATTTATGCTATTGTCTTTTTATTCTTCAACATATATTTTTCTTTAGTTAATGTCATGTATCAGGTAACTGTTAATACTGATTCAGTAGTTTTTGATTTTGTCTAGATTTGTTGGGATTTACATTATTATGTCATTCTTCTCCAACTTTTTTTTTTTATGTTCTTCCAATGGTGGCCTATCTCTTTTGTCCCTCAATTTCTTACTGTGATGTTTAAGGGTGTAACATTTTCAGGCTTTCTTCTTCTCTCATTTGTCTTCCTTCTGCTCTTCTTTTTCCTCTTTGATTTCTTACTCTTTTTAAATCCAAAAACTAATCTAATTATCCTGTTTGAGTAAACTACTATTCATATTTTATCATTTTTATTTTTTTAATGTTAATAGAACATTATTTATAATGTAATAATATTTACTATTATTACAGTCATCACCATTGACCTCTTTCAACACAATTTGAGTCTACTTTTTTCATCAGTCCTTCGAAAAAAACGAAAACCAATCAAGTAATACTATACATTACATATTAAAATTATTATTTCATTAAATATAAACAAATCTATTATTATTCATCATCATTGATTAACAGCTAATTTTTCTTCTTTTCTGTATTTCTTTATTGCAGCTCAGAGGAAACAAGAAAAAAAAGTAAAAACGAATAAACATGTATATATATATATACATACGCACAAATATATAAATAAATATGTATAGCTTATAAACAGAACTCTCATCGTTTACCATATTTTGTTCTGCTTTCGTAAAATATCTAACATCGTAATCATCATTTTGTAACTACTTATTACATTGTTTACTCTAAATTTATTATTAAATAGATAAATATACATCAATATCACGAGTTAGGCACTAGTAAATAACTAAAAAGGGTCAGTTTGATAAGGATAGACAACATACTTAGTGGCAAACTTATTGATGGCAGCTTGGCTTTTTGGCATCCCTCCTCCTCAGCTGAACCTTGGGACATATTATCACGAGGCGAACCGTGGTGTAGACCACTAAAATGACATGGAAGCTTCTGAACAGCCGGAGCTAAAATACTCTCGCATCATCCTCCTCCTCATCAGCTGTTTCTTGCTGCTCTCCAGATATTGCCGCTAACTGTAGAAATAGACAATGACCAGTGATCCCCATCATGTGTGGACAATACTTCCGTTCATTTCACCGATTCGAATTTAGAATTCGAGTTTTGTTACGGTAAAAAACTTTCAGAAACAGTCACATCTAACTTTTTTGTTACAGTAAAAGATTCTCACGTAAAGTCACATGTCAACTCGAATTAAAAATTCGAACCAACGAACTAAACGGGCCATCATGGTGAAAATTACACATAGAAAATAAAATAATAATGTGACGTTTGGTAAGTGGATTCGTACCCTGATTCGAATCATGGTTCATGGTTTGTTACAGTATTTTCTCTCACAAAAAATACACGTAAATCGAAAATAATTCTAATCTTATGATTCTAATCTATGAATCAAACGTCTCCTAAGATTGCATTTGGATGATTGATCTCCACATCAGAACCTCTCATAGTGCGTCATTGTATGCCAACAGTACTGTGTGGGCAGAACCTAAGGAAGATCCAACGGTCGAATGCTGTGCCATACAGGTAGGGTACGTAGTCGTACTCTATAAAAGAATTCTCCCAAAATTAAAGCAAAAAACCTGATTCTTATTGATCTTAGCAAAGCATTCACGATATTCAGACAAATGGTTCGTGTAAGCAAAGTAGAGTTCTCAGAATCCTCATGAAGATCCGAAGAAAATGTATACAGGAAGGGTTTTGTGTTATTACTAGAAAATGTATACACGAAGCTGTGCAAATCGCGTGATTTTTTTTTTTTTTAATAAAAAATCTTGTGATATTATACTACACTTGGGAAATGGCAACTGCCAAATTCTCCGAACTTTTCAATCTAAACGAGGAATCAGAACAGTCAAGACTTTGGACAAAAGCGATAAATGAAGAAGCACGTAGCTGACTTTACTCATGAGTTGCATATACAACTCCCTTTCCCCTACACACGTCCTCATGAATTACAATATAACAGAGGACCTGCTTTCTTAGGGAGCAAGCAACTACATGTTGGCGAAAATCATTTAACTGGTGCAAGAATGGTGTAGACCAAAAGAAATGTGACTAATACAATTGCACCGGCAAGGGTAAAGCCAGGGCTTGTCCAAAACATGAGATTTGACCTCTCTGTCCTCTTGATCGGATCGACTTCTTCGGACAACGGGTAGTCGGAACGCCTAGGGTTCCAGCTCACATACTTGTTTGGAGAAAAATCTGAGAAGATTGATTTCTTCTTCCCTTGCTTCCTGAAGCGTGACCAAGCCTTATCCCAATCGGTCGAGTATTTATCACCTGATATACTAGTAGTATAAAGGTTATTGTCTTTAAGCAGTAACTAAGCACAATCAAGCTAAATCAGAACAAACTTTTGGGATTTGTAAAGATCATTCATAGTAGGCAATATAAAACTTAATTTGGTCTACCTTTCTCACTGAATATATGATATATGTTGCAGCAACTTACTTGGCAAAGTAAGCATAAACTATATGCAAATTATACCTAAGCTTGTGCTTGTTACCATTCAACTTCACATGACCAAAATTTAAGACAAATTCAAAAGAATGCCATTAAGCAAAGATGAGACGAGTCAATGTCTTTAAGCAGCAGATAAGCAAAACTGAAGTTTTGTTATTTGTTATTCATGAAGATTATTTACAGTGTGCAGGGGAAGATAAACGACACACTAATCAAAACTGGCTATTTATAACTCACATAGAAAATGATAACAAAATAACGACTAAGATAAACGACACACTAACCAAAACTAAGCTAAACTAATAAGCTAAAATAAACGACATAAGAAAATATAAAAAACAACTACTTATGCCTAAATCTCTCTACATCAGTTCACCCCGTCTATAAAAAAGAACTCGACCTCGAGTTCAGTAAAAGCACTTGGAAATGAAGGAAGCTCGGAAAGTCAACATAAAGAAACCACTATTGGTCTTGTGGGAATGGTAGACTCCAACTAAGAAGTCCCTCTGAAACTCGTCCCAAATCCATTGTGGCACCAAAGTAATCCTCCAATAGAACACCGAAAACGACCAAGCTGTTCCCCATTGACAACGCCTCACCCATTTAGTCTTGAAACCACTTAGGCTTTGTTTGGTATTAGGGTTCAAACCAGGATAATTTTGGTTTTAGTTTTAAAACTAAAACCATGATTCATAGTTTTGGGTCCAATCATGATTCTGGTTTGAAACCAGGGATTTGAACCACCCAAAATCAAGGGAGGATGTAATTTTAAAATTATGAGTGGTTCTGATTTAAAACATCACATCAGCATTCAAATTTTAAACTAAAATTATTCAAACTAAACACTAGTTTTCAAACTTTTTTTTTTTCAAAAAACGTGAAAAATAAAAACAGTTTCAATTCGCCATTGTCTTCGGGTCTCTTTAATCTCAATTTGGCCATTTTCCTTGCTGGACTTACAAGCTTGATGTGGGCCAAGTGATTCTTGGGCTAGGTCAATCTTGAGCCTATTTGTGCGTGTTTGAACATCTGCAATTCGTGAGTTAGGACTCGAGCAGCCGCCATAGATGACGTCTTCTCCACGGGCGCTGCCACTGCCAAGTTTGCTCCAACCGTGACTGAGATGACCGCCACCACAACGGACGCCGGTGGCGAAATCCTCCGATCTCGCCTTAACTCCAACATGCACGCTTGCAAATGGTGAGGAGGACAATTCCGAACAACGACGAATGCCGCCGCATCCGGCTTCTTCTCCACTTCCTCAGCTTCTGTCATTGCTGGGCCTGCGTCGGAATTTATCGACGCCAGACTTGCACGATAATAAAAATACAGCCGATACCATCGACGGAATCGAAGGCGTGACGCTCCTATGGTCAGAGATTTCTTCTTCGTCAAACTTTCCTTCTCCATCAGCGACGAAGACGCCGAGGTCGAAAGGAGATTGGTGGACAAGATTGGCGCAGATCTCGTCCGCTTGGATGAGGTCGAAAGGAGATTGGTGTGATGGCGGTGAGGATGGTTTGGGTAATGGTGGCGATGGTGAAGTGGTGGTGGAGAACGGTCATGGTGCTGGTGGTTTGATTGGCAGTGGAGATAGTACAATGAAGGTGGTGGTGGAGAAGACGGCTGTTGGTGGGCACTCCACCATAGAGACCCGCTTCTCTGGTAGTACGAAACTTCACGCTCATCATCGGTGTCGAAGTTGCTCCAGTCACCGATCATGGTGTCGAACCCCGGGAAAACCAAAAGCTCTGATACCAATACAGCGAAACGGATAGAACATGATTTTACCCGCTAAATCCACCTAAAATAACTCCATAAGAGAATAACTCTCCAATTTGAAGAGAAAATACTAGTCTAATATTCAATTCTTAGTTATCTAAATCTTCTTTAATATTTATAACTCACATAAAAAATTATAGCAAAAAATGATTAAGATAAACAACATACTAATTGTTGACGGTCAAATCTCGTTAATAAGACCTTATCGAATTATCTCGTGGTAGTCCGTTGGGTTTCTAGTTTGAAACTTATAATTTAACTGAATATGTTAGAGTTTGTATTGGCGTATTGTATGTATCGTAATGAAAGAGTTACCTCGCTTACGAAAATAAAAACACACTGAGATTTTATAGTAGTTCACCCTTCTGAAAAAAGAGTTACATCTACTGTATTGTATTTCTCTTGTTTGGTTCTTACAAATTACAAAACATGGAGAGCCCTCCTCTCTCTCAGGATTTTTGCCCCTTTTATAGCTGATATTATATGAGCCTTGCCCAGCGGTTGGGACCATTTAACCTTTTCTTCCAGGGGCCCATTCACTCGAGTGGCCTATGCCCTCATTTGTCTAGACCGTAGCCTGTCAGCACCTTTTAGACTGTTCACTCATCTAATTTATCCCTCCATTAAGGCTCTATGGATCCTCTGTAATAGCTAGTGATCCGTTCCATGCGGTTTTAAGGGCTTATAATCATAATATGTGCAACTGACCTCCTATAAACCCAGCCGCAACTTTAAGATATTAAGCTGATCACCTCAGGGGTCTTCCTTGGGATGGGATCCAATTGCTTGCGTTCTGCCCTCTGCGCTCATGCCAAACTTTGCCATGCGTGGTCTTTTTCTCGGTCGACCCTATCACGTTACTTGTATTAACTGGTCTCGCAGGTCTCGACTGTATATAGGGTCGGCGGTCTCGAACCCCCCTATACACTCGACTCCCATACTATATGGGAGAGGAAAATGAGCCTCAGGCGTCGGGGCCTATCTGACGTGACAGACATGGAGCAACGTATGGCACGATTGTTGTTTGACGTGTCAGTATGAATTTTTCCACATAACACTAACCAAAACTAATAAACTAAAATAAACGATATAAGAAAATATAAAAAACAACTGCTCATGCCTGAATCTCCCCACATCAGTTACTCATTGGCATACACCCGAAAACAAGAAAAAAGTTTGCATTTCTGCTCCATATGCCACATTCAAAATTTCTTCCTGTAAACAAGTAAAGTGCCTAACAATCTCTCCCAAACATGATCAAGAAACCCAAAAACTCTCACCTCTTGTAATCAGAATCTTAAGAATTTTGGTTATATATCATCGCGACTTTCTATAACACATCAATAAGAAATTCTCACCTCTAGTTAACCATAAACTCATTCAAATTTATACAAGAAAAATGAAAACTTTATGATAAAGTGTCAAGAAAAAAAAAACTGTATTAAAATCATATTAAAATGAGAATTTGATAGTCCATAACTGTACTACGTTTTAGTTTTGTGAATGTTACTACGTAATTCTCGAAAAAAAGAAGAAAAAAGAAAAAAACGAAGCTTACTGGAAAATGTGAAAGAGAGAGAGGAAACCTACCATTGTTGTCACCATTATTCCTTTGGTTTTCCGGATCGGAATCCCTTCTCGAACACAAAAACCTTTGCGTCCAATAAGAAGGAGAAGATTTTATGGAAGCGGAGAAGAAAGAGTGAGAGAAAATGATTCCGAATCGAGCTTGAATATCCATTTTCGCATTCATTTCTCCAACAGCATAAAAGATTCTTTTGCTTTTGTTTTCCTCTCTCTCTCTCTCTGTTTTTTTTTTTTTTCGCCGACGTTTATGTCTTATCTAACTGAATCAAACGCCAGCCCCAAACTCCTCCACGTCATCCTAGAGGACCACACGTGTTGAAAGGTGAGTGCTCCATGGACCACCACCTAATTATAAATTGTAGCGCACTTTTTTTTTTTATTTTAGGATGTTTAATTGGAAGATTCAAACTATAATTTGAATCATAGTTCATGATTTATAATAGTATTTTTTTTTATAAAAAATATACATAAATAAAAAATAATTCTAATCACATTATTCTAATCTATAAACTAAACGTTTCTTTACGATTCCAATCACAATTTAAATTTTTTATTATAATATTTTTTTTATAAAATTTTAAATTTAAATTAAATTTTCTATTTGACTTATGGAAAAAACAAAACTTTAACCAAAAAAAAAAAAAAAATGGTTGAAAAAACCACAAGCTGCAAAACCTACTTTTTATAGTGGACGGTGTTATGTATCATTGTACACCTATAGCATCATTATGAACCTATAATTTCATATCAATGAATGACGATCTATAAATGCTTTTTTATTCAACAATTAAAATTGTAATTAGCTCGAGTTAAGGTCATTTTGGACTTGACGAAAATATAGAAGAGATTTCTTTCCATTCCATCGTCTTAATATAACTTAAAGTGTTGTTAAGCTAGATTATTTAAAAGTTAATTACTTTTTATTATTATTTAAAAGTTAATTACTAGAGGTATTTGTTTTGTTCACTTTTATATTATAATATGTCCAACATTGTCGTAAAATTATAACTTTTATGATATTGACCACCACGTTTACATACCGTAACATTATCAATATCTCTAAATTTTAACATTATTTCGGTTATTTTGTATGGATGTCCCTTTAATTTTACGTGTTTGGTAACTTAATCCCTAAAAAACTTTTAAAATTAGAGAAACCCTAAAATTTATCCATAATCTCCAATTTCAAAAAAAATTCTCTCATGATGTCTATATACCGAGACAATTCAATATAAAAAGGCTAAAATTTGTCTCATTAAAAGATCACGTGAAAAATACCGTCAGAATTTTTAATTTTATTTTTAATTTGATTAATATTATAATAAATTTTAAAGTTTAAGTAATGAATTACTAAGATTAAAAGTTGAGTGACTAAATTGTCAAACTCATAAAGTTGATAAAGTGTCCGTAAAACAAAAAAAAAAAACTATTATTTCATTATCATGGAGTATGTAACTGTTAGGTACATATTCTTTGACTATGATAGTGTTTTTTTATCCGTAAATTATAACATGTGATAAACATTATTATAAATTAACAGTGTTTATGATACTTTTGCATATTGACTTGAAAAAATTAAATTTAATTTTATGGTAATAAAATTATACTATTATTTACCAAACTATAAAAAGAAAAAAAAATAAAAAAGGAAAAAAGAAACACACACACACTCGCCGGGCCTTATAACCATGATGGGGTTGTCGGCGATGGTGGTGGTGGTCTCTCAGTGCCCAGCTAACTTATTAAGGTCTCATTCACTTTGTAGATTCGAGTTTTTAATTTGAATTGAGATGTGATATTTTATGAGAGCTTTTTACTGTAATAAAAAAAATTAGATGTGACATTTTCTGAGAATTTTTTACTATAAAAACTTAAAATTAAAAACTTAAATCGGTGAAATGAACGAGATCTAAGTCTGAAATCATATGGAGTCACATCCACGTGTCGCCATATGGTGAAGGTAAAAAGCGTTAGGCAGAGGACAGTTGGGCCGACGAGGCCCATTTTCAACCACCCGAGGTGAAATATAAAAAAAAAATAGAAAAGAAAATTGAACAAGCTTTTATTTTCAGCCGTTGGATCTACAGGTTGATAAGATTAAACCGAAGCCAAGCAAAAATTTTCTTTGGCCCGCCAAAGAAAACTCGTGGACAGGAATTGCGTGGGAAATCTAGGTTGTGGGACCCACATCCATTCCTCGGTGTTCGTGAGTGTGCGTGTTAGGTTCACCGATTATTCGGAAATACCTCGGCAACGTCAAACGACACTCCTCGGTCCGATTTCGTACGAAATGATGCTGATTGCTAAAGTCCCAAAATTTTTGACTTTTACTTCTTTGGTGTTTTTTTTAGAATATTAGTTTTATTTATTTATTAGTCGTCATATATATTAAATTTAATTAAAAATTAAATTATATTAAAAAAATAATACATATTTAATTATTAATAAGTAAAAAATATTGATATTGTTAAAAAAAGAAAATACTAAAAAAATTCTCCTAATATAATTTTCATCAAATCTAAAAAACTACAGTAAAACTTGTAAATAAAATTTTGTAGTTACATCTCGAAGTTATTGTGACTTAACTAGGCCTTTTTGAAGTAGTGAAAGAAATTACCGGCACAAGAGAATTTCGGCCACAAAAGCTAAGAGGCTTCCTAGCAGACAAACAACGAAATAATAACCACAACTAGAAGAGAGAAATTCTATTCATTCTTCGTACTTCTTATCCTTTTAACTGTTTATAATATATTTTCTAATAGCATACTTTTCAATATATATTCAAATAGAAAAACACGTGATTATATTACTCTTATTTTTTATATTTTTAATTTGTTTATATTCTATTTTCTAACAAAATAGGTAAGCGGAAATAATTTAACATTTAATGAATAAAATAAAAATAAAATTTTAAGTCAAAACTAAAAATGACGGTAAAGTTTAAAAGATATTTTCTTTGTAAGCTTGATTCAAACAATTGTTTTGAATGAAAAACCAGTTTCCACCAAGAAAACCAAAAGAAGGAAAAAAAAAGTCAAGAAGTAAAACATTAATCGGGTACGGCATTTCCCGCGGGTGAAGGCAGACGATTAAATCGGCGTAGTGGGAAGTATTTATTATGTTTGTCAAAATAATTAAGCGGCCTCTATTCTCTCCCCGGCTAACGTCACCGATACTCTCCCCTCTTCTACTCTCTCTCTAGCTTTCTCTCTCTAAATTCTCTCTCCACCTCTCTCTCTCTAAAGTTTTGTGTGCTGTGAAGGGGAGTTCATTTGTTTATGGTGGTGGTCGGAGCAAAATGAACTCAAACGCCTCCGCGAATCCCTCTCCATCGGCGCCGTCCGACGGCTCGGCGAAGAAGGTGAGAAAGCCCTACACCATCACCAAGTCCAGAGAGAGCTGGACCGAGGAAGAGCACGACAAGTTTCTCGAAGCTCTTCAATTGTTAGTTCTTTTCCATTTCATCTCTCTCTCTCTCTCTTGTTCTTCTTCCCAAGTATTGTTGTATCTCATGACTGAATTTTGAAACGCCATTATTGATCAGTCCCTGAGCCTTTTTTTTTTTTTTGAATTATGCGTTTTCTCTCTCTCAGGTTCGACCGCGACTGGAAAAAAATCGAAGATTTTGTTGGTTCTAAGACGGTTATTCAGGTTTTGATGATATAATTATACAAAATTTTGCTATTTTATTCAGATTTTCAAGGCTTCAAGCAAATAAATTTAAATCTTGATTATTATCGTAAGAGAAACAGTTAAACAATTCTGTGCTTATGTATTCAGATTTTTAGGATATAAATTGTAGCTCTTGCGTATTATCTAAGAAAAATAATTAAAACATTTTTTTGGTGCTTATTTGGTTTATGATTTTTTTGTTCTTTCTTCAGATTCGGAGTCATGCGCAGAAGTACTTTCAGAAAGTGCAAAAGAATGGGACTCTTGCTCATGTTCCACCTCCCAGGCCAAAGCGCAAAGCTGCACATCCTTACCCTCAAAAAGCATCCAAAAATGGTTTGTTTTTTTGTTAAACATAAATTGCTCATTATTGTTTCATTCACTGAAGGCTAAAAGCTTTTTAAGGATTAATCTCACTCACTTAGGTGACCTGTTCGGTCACATTTAATCCAATTTTTTATGTTTAAGGATGGAATATTATCACAAATCGAAATAGAGGCAAAGCTAGACAACCCCCTAGTTGACTCAAGTTTTAATTTGGCGAAATCTGATATGTGAAGTCTTGGATTTGCAGTTTTGGTTCCACTACCATTGGTTTTTCACTGAAGCTTAAAAGTATTTAGGGATTAATGGATTAATCTCACTTATCCCGCCACTTTAATTTGTGACACAAAATTTGTTCTTTGTACATTTTGTCACGTTTAGTCCAAGTTCTGCGTTCAGGAATCAAATTGAAGTTTGGGGGCAAAGTTGGACGATCCCTTAGTTGACCCAGGTTTTAATTTGGGCAAATCTGATTTGTGAACTCTTGGATTTGCAGTTTTGGTTCCATTGCAAGCATCTGTAGCTTATCCTTCTTCAGTGAATAGCATTGTACCCGATTATTCTCCATGGGAAGATGCCTCTTTGTTGATAAGCCCATCATCAAGCAAAATGGAATTATCCCAGGAAGAATTTGCTAATCTTCAGGGAACTGAAGGCATGGATTCTCTCATTTTGTGCTTGTCTTTCTTTTCATTTCGGTAGTTGTAGTGTTCTTTTAGCTTTGTTAAAGGGGACTTTCCAGCACTTATTATGGCATACAACGTTACTGATTCAGCTGATGTTGCATCAAAGGGGGCAGTGGCAAGGAATAGTGACAGCAATCTTAGTGGCATTGCAAGCTCAGGTAGAACGGTACCGGGATCAGAGTTACCAAAGTATGGGAAACAAGCTTCTGTGCTCCATGGTAATAGTCTAAACTGTAATCAACGGTGGCTCTCCTTGTTGAATTAGATTAAAATTGAGAAAGTTGTTTAATTTTGGCGGTCCAACTTTCATTTTCCAATTTGGAGGTATTCCAGATTTTGCTGAAGTTTACAGCTTTATCGGAAGTGTTTTCGATCCAGACACCCAGGGCCATGTGCAGAAACTCAAGGAGATGGATCCCATTAATTTCGAGACTGTGAGTTACCCCAACTTTCCTCTGAATCCCTTAGAAACCAAGTTGCATAAATTATCCGATTTCTTAAAGTGAAAATTATCTGAGATTCAGTAATTTACTATTGATAATTCTCAAGTAATGCGATTCATAGTGACTGCTTAATATGTTCTGTCTGTATCATACTTTCTGAAACTAACATTACATAAAATATAGTCAAAGAGTCAAACAATGAACTTGTGGACAGTAGTTTTTTTTCAATGAAGTCTATGGATTGGTGGTGAGACCTCCAAAATGTTCAAAGAATGCATGAATGCTTCTCTTCAGAGGCTTGACATCCTGGGAGTTTAGGGTATACAGAACAAAAGTATCTTCACCAAGTCCTCAGGAACTGCAAAATACTTAAAATGATAACAACTGGTTGGAGGATTATCATGTAAAGACCTAACCATTGATGCTAAAATATTTTTTTATTTCAAGACGGCGATACTTTTACTTTGTCCAGATGCATTTAGTATTAGTTTATGTCTGTAGGACATGTGAATTTAATACACTGGCTTAAGTTTAGAAAGCTGGATCAGTTCTATGCTACTGACATGCCAATATAGAGGACATTGTGGGATGGTACTTTTTACATGGTTGAAGTATGAGAGAACTTGTGCTACTTTTCAGTTATAAAACTAGAGTTCGAAACAAAAATTTGCGGACACTGATATATTTCCTTGTTTTTTTTTTTGGGTTCTACTCCAGTTAAAAAAAATCCAGAATGTAGAAGATGCCTGTGATGTTATGAATATGTGATTAAACAGTACAAAATGATGTGTGCTTGTATTGGTGATTTATGCAGGTTTTGTTGTTAATGAGAAACCTAACCTTCAACTTGTGTAGCCCTGATTTCGAGCCCGTTGTAAGTATTTATATCCCTTGTTGCCCTTATTATGCTGTTATGGCACATAAATCTTTCATTTTGGAGGCATATATTAGTATTGTTCCTCAGAAGGATGCTTTACAGATTAATACGCTTTTGAAATTGGTTGATACGCAAATTAGCACTTTCTGCTCTATTGCTTCGTTAAACTAAACACGCACAGACGAGGGAAACTTGCAGTGTATTTATTGGTCACTGTTCTTGATGAAATATGTTCAGTTTTATCCTAACAAGCCAGTTCAATCTCCTTGTAAGGACTCTTTTTTGGCTTTAAATGCGGACAATTTCATAATATGTTGACATTGTCGTGATGCCATCCAAAATTCTTTTTTCTTTCTATCCGTGATCTCTTGAATTTTGAGAGTCTCTCTAGTTTCCTCAACCCCAACTTGAGTAAAACCATTATGAGGATTGCTCATTTGCTTCGTAAATTCTACAATGATTCATATCTGAAAATTTTCTACTTATCTTGTATTATCTGGCTAACTGGGTTCGTTGTTCCAGAGAAAGGTCATGTCCTCGTACGATGTCAATTCAAAAATGGCGGGGATTGGTACCGGAACTGTTGCCAAGAGGCAGGCCAACAATCTGCCAGTTTGAGCTGCTTAGCTCTTACAACTTGCTGACTAGTAGGTGCTTCTCTCATCTTCCTTTCTCCCCTTTAGTCTTGTTACTGACAACATGATTATGAACCCCCGATTCACGCTACCGAGCAACATTTAAGATGGAATTTGTATTGCCACACTAGGTAGGATCATGGCCAAAGGTGTAAATGGTTCTAGCACAGTGGGCATGAATAGAAATATTTTAGTATAGAGATGAATGCAACCACAGCCATGAGAATCACTGACACAAGATGCTTGATGGGGAGAAAAAGACGGGGCCTTTCGGAGCTCTGCAACCATCTCAGTGTCTGGTGGCCTCAATGGATGATGGAATGCTATTATTATTCTATCTATTAGGCCTTCAACCAGAAAAAAGTGTGTATATTATCTATTTGCTGGTAAATTTGATTTCTGTCAAAGAAAATGTCGTCTTTGTTTCTTTTTTTTTTTTTTTTTTTTTTTCCCCTTAAAAGAAAGAAAGAAAATTTTGCAGGGTTGTGCCTCCTATCCCGTAAAGCCGTGTAGTTACAGGAATTTGAATAATAAGTTTTATCCTTCTAAATATTATGTGCTTTTTTCGGATGCTATATAGCCACTTCCAATTCATGAACGTTGTATGATTGTCCTGTCGTTCAACTGTTAACCATGTAGATTCCAAGTTAAGATTTTAACTTTTTTGCTAAGAAAAATAAATTTTGTACTGGACAAACTTCATATACGATATGTTTTGCTACATGGCAAAAGAACTTGCAAGCTCCTTATTAGGCTAATTGACTAGATAAATATACCACTTTTATGTAATCATATATATATATATATATAATGGGCGTGGTTCTAATGGTTATTTCAATATTTATTCATCGATAGATATCGTTATTTTAGCCGTAACATATTGATCCTATAGTTGTAGTAAATTGAGTAGTTGACTAAAAAGATTTATTGCAACTAATAAAATTAAATTTTTATCAGACAATGTCATCTAATTATTATATTTAATGTGTGGTTATCGATGGAGATGTAATTATTGAAAATTCATTCATATATAATAGAAGTAGATAAAAAAAAATTCTTATTTTTGTTAGAGGAAGATTACCAACTATTTGTAGGCAACTATAGAAGAATGCCATTAGGTCATAAATCTTCATCACTCTTTTAACTACAAGATTTTCGTACTCACTTCCTCTTTGGGGAAAAGGACGTTTAGGGGGGAATAAAGATTAATAATAGAAAATTGAGAAAAAAGTTGGTAAATAACAATTTTCATGTAAATATGGATTTACTAAGCTACTAAATTGTTAAAATTAATGGTAAAAATATGGGGAAAAAATGAAACGAAAGGGGAAAGGACAAAGGGATGAAGAAAAGAAAAATATAAAAGTTAGAATAACATATGGATAAAAACTTCAAAAGTGCTATTTACTACCAGCTTAAGTAAATATTCCGTTTACGTTTATAAAGATTTTAAAGTATGTTATTCCTGCCTTTTGTTTCTTTCATTATATATGAACTTTTGAATAGTATAATTCTTAATTCGTTTGGTTAGAGGATTCAAACTATAATTTGAATCATGATTTATGATTTATTATAATATTTTTTCTCATAAAAAATACACATAAATTAAAAATAATTTTAATCACATAATTTTAATTTATGAACCAAACGTCTCTAGTAAAATTACATGGCGAGTTAAAGGTTTTTTTTTTCTTCTTTTAAGTGAGGAAAGGCGGTAGGTAGAGAATGTTCTATGGACCAAGTGAGACCAAAATTAGGCCCAAATATACAAAACAGTGGTAGGCCAATGTAGCCCCAAAAGGGCGTAGAAGCTCAAAAACCAAAAGGCCCAATAGAACGTGTATAAGACACTCCAGTTCCCGACCAGACCTTCCCCAACCCCGCAACCAAACAACCCCAAAACCAGCACACACTCTCACTTCAGCCCTAGCTCGTTTTTCCCTTTCGACTATATAAACCTCATTTCAGTTTCAGAAAACCCTAGTTCATTCCCGAGAGAGAAAACAAAACCCTAGCCCCCTCACCCTTTCCCTTCCTCTCTCTCGTCTCCAATGGCAGCCACAGCCGCCGTCCGTCCCCTCGTCACCGTCCAGGCCCTCGAAGGCGACATGGCCACGGACACCGCCCAAACCGTTGCCCTTCCCGATGTCATGAAGGCCTCGATCCGTCCCGACATCGTCAATTTTGTGCACGCCAACATTTCAAAGAACAAGCGCCAGCCCTATGCCGTCAGCAGGCGCGCCGGTCACCAGACCTCCGCCGAGTCCTGGGGAACCGGTCGCGCAGTCTCCCGTATCCCCCGTGTTCCCGGCGGCGGGACCCACCGCGCTGGCCAGGGAGCCTTTGGAAACATGTGCCGCGGCGGAAGGATGTTCGCTCCGACCAAGATCTGGCGCCGCTGGCACCGCAAGATCAATGTGAACCAGAAGCGGTACGCCGTCGTTTCGGCCATCGCCGCCTCTGCTGTTCCTTCTCTCGTCCTGGCCCGCGGCCATAGGATCGAGTCCGTGGCGGAGTTGCCTCTCGTGATCAGTGACGCCGCCGAGGGAGTGGAGAAGACTTCTGCCGCGATCAAGGTTTTGAAGCAGATCGGAGCTTTTCCTGACGCCGAGAAGGCGAAGGACAGCCACGCGATTCGTCCTGGCAAGGGTAAGATGAGGAATCGCCGCTACATCAACCGCAAAGGTCCTCTGATTGTGTACGGAACCGAGGGAGCCAAGCTTGTGAAGGCTTTCAGGAACATTCCTGGAGTGGACATCATCAATGTCGAGAGGCTTAACCTTCTGAAGCTCGCTCCCGGTGGCCACCTCGGGAGGTTTGTGATTTGGACGAAGTCGGCCTTCGAGAAGCTTGACTCGATCTATGGATCGTTCGAGAAGCCTTCGGAGAAGAAGAAGGCTTACGTGCTTCCCAGGCCGAAGATGTTGAATGCCGACTTGGCGAGGATCATCAACTCCGACGAGGTTCAGTCTGTCGTGAGGCCGATCAAGAAGGAAGTAAAGAGGGCACCACTGAAGAAGAACCCTCTGAAGAACCTCAATTCCATGTTGAAGCTCAACCCCTACGCCAAGACCGCCAGGAGGATGTCTTTGTTGGCTGAGGCCCAGCGCGTCACGGCCAAGAAGGAGAAGCTTGACAAAAAGAGGAAGCCCGCCGCTTCTAAGGTATTTATAACTGATCGTCTTTTCTCTCTTAATGCCATGCCATATGATTGTAGAAAATGTGTTAATTTTCTTTTTATCATGTGTTTCTTTTTGTGATGCATGTACGTGTTTATTGATTGTTTTGATGGTAAATGGTGTGTTGTTAGAAAATTGATTATTGCTTTGTAGGTTTATTTATTAGTTGAAGTTGTTGTCTCGACAATCTTTTATCCATGTTTATGGAGTTAGCTAAGCTTCTTAGGTTTATTTATTAGTTGAAGTTGTTGTATTGACGATCTTTTATCCATGTTTATGGAGTAAGCGTAGCTAATGGCTGTGATTGATTATGTTTGATTATTATGGTTTTATTTCTAAGTTCTTAGATAATCAAGTATGTAGTACTATTTTTTTCTCGGTACTATTGTCATTTTTAGATGTTGATTCCCAATCTGAGCTGAGAGTCTGACTCGCTATTTATGAATGAAATTGCTTCTAATAATTGTACTGTAATTTGTTTCGATGTTGGTCTTGTAGTATTGATGGATTTTAAACTCTCAACTTGTCAAGTTATGGACGTTTCTAATGTGTCCATTAATTTTCGATCTTCTTTAGTGTTTACTTTTTAATTTTTTCACCTTCACCGGAGTATATTTTATAGCCTCCTTACTAATAGTTTGCTTAATCTATATGTGACACATGTTGGTTCTTGTTCCTGTTGATGTGTTGTGCATGTGTCGAATGGCGAGTAAAGTTTATGATATATGCCATATTGTTAGTGTATTCTAATGGTAAAAATACTCATTTGCATCTATCTCTCTTTCCTTTGCCCTTGAACCAGGAGGAGGCTGCTGCTATCAAGGCTGCAGGAAAATCGTGGTACCAGACTATGATCTCAGACAGTGACTACACCGAGTTTGAAAACTTCACCAAGTGGTTGGGAGTATCTCAGTGATTTTCTGCTTTTTCATATCTCGAGACATTAGTTTGATACTTTTGTTTTGGTGTTAATTTTGTGTCCTTTTTCTGCTTTGAAGTGGGAGGAAAGATTAGTGGAATAATAGGGGAGAATTTTGACTGGATGTCTTTCCTCCTTTTCTTGTTCTCTGTTTTCCTTCCAGAGATTGAAGAGTTTTTATTATCAGTACTGGATTCAAAGATTTTAGATTACATAGTTTAGTTGGTCAAATTCAGTTTCTCTTGGCAAATCTAAGCTGGTATGAGATATTGACATTCTATGTATGTTATTACATGAAACAATTTTCCAATTGGCGTGGCTTGTTTTGGTCTTTTTGCCCATGATTAGGTTTCCTTATCAACACTCAGTTGATTGTTAGTTTTATGAAAGCCTTTTTGTAGGTTCTTCCCGGCATATTCTAGCTTATCTGGCAAAGAACTTTTTGCACTTTTTAACCATGATCAGAGACACTACAGACTGCTGTCTTGATGCTAAGATAACTTCTCAACGTATTGTTATAAGTTGATATTGTTGCTCATGCGTGTTTTTGTAGCCTCTCAATTCCAAATCAATCGTGTTTTTCATTTGCACTCGATTTGTTTTTACCCTTTTTTTTTAATATAAAGTTGGATATCTTGGTTAGCCAATCTATGCACCATTAGTTTGAATGTTTCTCTTAGAATTCTCCGCTTACTATTTGCTGTGCGTTGATTGTTAACCCTGTCAACCTGTATTGATGAATGTTTTTTAGCCAAAATAAAATGACGAAAGGGTTATAACTTAGCTTGTATAGCATATAAGCTATGAGCGACTTAGTTGTTTGGATTTGTAAAATTTGTGGTACGTTGTAATTTTGGCGAGTTGGTGCAATACCAATTCTTGTATGGGTTGCAGTTGCAAGCAGGGAATGCACCATAATTGTCATGTAAATACCGATTCATGAATGGGTTAAAAAAAAAAAAACCCTAGCAATCTTATGCTACAATGCCCTACTACAATATGTAAAATTGTGTGGGATTCTATGTCTCAATCATCGGGTTCTATTCTATTGGAGATGCGCTTGGAAGTTCCTATCATCTAGTTTCCACATGTAGTAGAGGAGACATTGCTCATCCCGCTATTGAGGGCCCATTTGTTTTATTTTATATATATATAGACACACGGAAATAGTAAAAAATAGGTCAATATAAAAAGTTTAAGAAAGTATATAGGTCAATTTTTAGTTATAGAAATTAATAGGTTATAATTTGTCAAGTTATGATTTATAACTAGATAAGTTATGGATAAATTTATCAAGTTATGGTTTATAATCAGACAAATTATGGATAAAAATTGTGAATTATAGACAATAACTTGTCAAGTTATGATTCATAACCAAACAAGTTATGAATAAAAACAGTACTTTGGCCTATTTATTAACTTATATAAACTATTAATTTATTAATTTTAATTCATCTTAAATTTTAGCATATTTTTCTCTTTCTCCCATATATATACAAATTTAAATTATTATTCTGTTATAATGTTTTTTTTTTTTTAAAAAAAAATTGAATTTTAAACTCATCAAACGGGCCTTGAGCTTCTATTGCCTGTGACGCACTATCTTCCAGAGCAGTCTCTTCCGTGAGGGGCCGCTGCAGACAGATCTCTCCTTAATTCTTTCACATGGTGGCGGTCATGGCGGCACCTCCCTTACCACCCCTGCCCCTCTTGGTTGAGTTCTTTTTCGTACTTACGGTTCTTTTTTTTTTCCCCCTCTTTCTTTTTCCCAACTTTTTAGTATTTTAACGCATCAAAATTTTCAGTGTTACGGTAGGATACCACTTGTGGACCATAGACTACTGTCAGCGCATAGGTCATCAGGCCCCAATAGGCTACTGCCGATAGCCTACTATGATATATAGTTGGGTCGGATTGTCTAAGAAGGGTAATCTTAATAAATATCTCTTAAAAAATGTATGGGCGGGAATTTTTAGGTGCGCTTAGAACTCGTTTTAAAATAATTTTATTTTTATATGAAAATGAAAATGAAAATGTTTTCAATCTCAGATAGAAATCATTTTTAAAAATACGTTTTAGTAATTTTATGAAGAGATTATTTTCAGTGTAAAAAAACCTATTAATGTCTCTCTTTCTCTCTCTCTACTCGAGAGGAGAAAACGAAAATAAAAAATAAAAAATAATTAAAAGTTATTTTTTATTTCTCTCTCATTTTTCACTAAACAAAAAAATAGTTTTCATTTCTGTTTTTTATTTTTATTGCGCCAAACGCCGTTTTGAAAACGTTTTCATTTTTTTTCTCAAAAAACATGAAAAATAAAAATGAGATCAATTCCAAACACAGTCTTTATTCTTTATTCTTAATTTATAACTTTTTTAATCAAATGATTATACTAACAAAAGAGTATTTATCAAGAGAAAATTATAAATGTCAGTTCTCCATGTTTTCATATAAAAGAAACCTGAGCTAACTCAAAACTAAGCCCACCTCCTCTGTTCATATTGTCAAGCCCAGCCAAGTTAATCCTTGTTTGTTCCTCTTCCACAACCTTCAGGTAGAGATCCAAGTACCTGAAATTCCCTCTTTTTTTTTTTTTTTTTTTTTTTGATATTAACACCTGAAACTGACTTGAACAGGGACTTTTCTAACTAAATATTTCACCTAACCAAGACAACTACCTCTCCCAATCTTTACCCTTCTAGCATCTCTCTCCTCTCTGAAATAATGGAATTTATGGCACTCGTCCTTGTTTTTGCTTCTGATAATTCAGTATTATTTCAAGAATGATTAAGAAATATGTTCCCTTAACTCACCTCTTTAGTTTTGTCCCATTACTTTTAGATTCCGTCTTTTAGCATTTTGGACATAATTATAATGAATTTTGTAACACTTATACCTCTTAAATTTCTTGTAATTTGACACTTTCGTTCTCTTAGAAGATTAAGTGACTAGATTATCAAGAAAAACAAGTTTTAGAAGTAAAAAATGCTAAACAAGGAAAAGTTTAGTATCATCGCACTGTTCATTTCACCGATTTGAGTTTTGTTTCAGTAAAAAACTCTTAGAAACAGTCACGTCTAACTTTTTTTACTCCAGTAAAAAACTCATACATAAAATCACATCTCAACTCAAATTAAAAATTTAAATCAACGAACTAAACAGATAAAAAACCAATCTTTATACTTGACTTTTCATTGTGCTTTGAGTTTGAGTAACCTCGAACACAAATATAATAATTACCTTACCAAGAAATTGACCCCCCAATTAAAAGGTCGTTGGAAAAAAAAAAGTTGTAACATCTCTTTTGTTTTCTTGCAATATTTATAGATTATTGAATTTTAATTAAATGCATTCTAGATATTTTTCCTTCTGTGCAATATGCCTAAATGGTATCCAAGACAAGAGAAGGATTATGGTGTGTTCATTTATACAATTTAAGTCATGATTGAAGTTGTGTATGTGAGAAAAAAAATACTATAATAATAAATTTAAATTTAAATTTATGTGAGACAAAACACTGTAATAATATAACTTGAATCCTGAAATGATCAAGGCCAATAAGTTAAAAATAACAAATTAAAGACGGGCTAATGCCGCTTTTGAATTATTTAATAGGAAAGTGGAAGCCTCAGACATAGTACCTCTCGAAACCTAAGTACACTCACCAACTATATACCCATTAATTTATTATGTGCCATACACTAATTAATCACCAACATTTTTATTGACAATGTCATTTTGCTTATTATTAATGTAATTATATATATATTTAGAATATCATTTTGCCTCTTTGGACATTTATCGCCATATAACTTTATTCCATATCACCCCAAAGAAAAACCCACTCCAAAGATGCCATAGTAGGAATCCTTGCAAATGGAGTACTCCAACAAAGGGAGGAGAAAGTAGCATCCCACATGCCCATTTCTTAGGGCAAAATAAAATAATAGGAAAACCATATATTATATATGGAATCTTACTTAAAATATAACAATTTAACATAATTTGATAAAAGATTTCACTAATATTAGAGCGCTGTAACATTTGTATTTAGTTGGTAAATTCCTACCATAATTTGAATTATAATTCGTAATTCGCTATAATATTTTCTCACATAAAAAATATACATAAATTAAAAATAATTCTAAATTTATGAACCAAACGTTCACATCAAATCTTAATCCCACACATAAACCGGTGCGGCCTATTTGGGAGGCTCGTATGGACCTCACAAATAGACATACTATTTGTGTTCGATGGAACTAGAATCCAATCAGATTGAATAACGGTTTTCCTGATATTATCAACAGGTCGTTTTTTATTGCCTATACAGAATTCTTCATTTTATATTAGACATTGCATTATATTTGTAAATTTTTCACAATGACCGAGGACACATCGGCCATTTTGTTGAGTTGGAGAAGGACAATTTAGGCAAACAAAAGTGTCACCTTTCTTTTTCCTGTTTTTAGTATTTTACTCTGTCCCGTAAAGATGTAGATAAAACGACGAAAGTGTACTGTCAATTTGGCCAATGGCACACGCATATTGCAAAATTGCAAAGATTATTATAGTACAAACAATTCCTTCCACCACTTGCCAATCACTACTATGAATAGAACCAAACACAATTATTAACTCACTTATAAACAACTTACTGACACTTTCAGTTCTATAATTCCATACCACTTTTTTTTTATATCTTTTTGGTTTCCTTTTTCTCCCTTATAAAACATCTATCGGTGATATTATTACGGTCTCATTCATTTTAGGCTCGTTCACTTCACTGATTTGAGTTTATAATTTGAGTTGAAATGTGATTTTATGTGAGAGCTTTTCATTGTAACAAAAAAGTTAGATGTGACTGTTTTTGAAAACTTTTTACTGTAGCAAAACTCAAATTCTAAACTCGAATTGGTAAAGTGAACGAGACCTTCATCGATTTAAATTTTTAATTTTAAATTTTTACAGTTAAAAATTTTTAAAAAAATATTATATTTAATTTTTTTTATTACAGTTAAAAATTCTAAAAAATATATGATATCTCAATTTAAATTAAAAATTTAAACATGCGAAACAAACGAGACCCACAAATACAGTAGTCCTTCCTAAAAGAGATTGTTCATGAAAATATCCTTTGATGGATTAAGTGGAGAATTTCTAGGTGAGAAATTTGCATTGATTTTTTTTTTTTCTATTTGTAAGTAGAGTGATTTTCTGATATTTTTTTTGCTAGTGTCTCTAAACTTGAGGATGTTTGACAACTTGGACCTAAAATTTTATTTTTAATAAATAAAACTCTAAATTCAAAAATATGTTACAACGGTTCTCTTGATAATTAAAATACGTTACAACGTTGTCCAATGGCTACAAACATCTATACTATTGCTCCTAAATATCAAAGGAAATTGAGGTTTTAATAATATGCATATTTCCGTACCAAGACTTGAAAATAAATTATTAATAGATTTTTGTTTTTCATTATTAATATTTTATTTTTTTCTCCATATTTTCTATTTTAATATTATTTTAACTGAATCCAACAACAAACGTATGCAACCCGACTCTAATAATATTATTACATTCAAGAATATATTTTAAGAAAAGAGAGAAAGCAAAAATCTAGTAATAATAAAGGGAATTTCTATCAGAAAAAAATATATAATATTACTAGTCTTTTAGTTTCAGAGGAATTTTTACCGTAGAGCAAGTATTTTTTACTATTTAAAGTAATTTTTTTAACCGTTAAATATATACATATTTATATTAAAAATTTATAGTGTGTTACACAAAAAAATGAGCATTAAAAAATTAATCTAACAATAAAAATACTTATCATATCGGTAGAGTAAAATAGATTAATCCACCGTTAAGACTACCAATTTTGAGCGGTAAAATCTATGTTATACATATTTTTTTAATTTTAAAATAATTTTGATTATATTTAGTAGAGGAGATAAATGTCTCATTTATTTCATTGATTTGAATTTTTAATTTTAAATTTTTACAGTAAAATTTTTTTAAAAAATATCACATTTAATTTTTTCTATTATTACAGTAAAAAACTCTCAAAAAAACTAAACTCTCAATAATAAAATAAAAAGATGAGGGACCCTCCAAAGTCCAACTTCTCTCTGTATGTATGCTGAAAACAGTCATTGTTCTTAGCTCCAATCCAGAGCCAAAAACAACAACAAACAAACCCCACCACCGACACTAACCACCTCTCCCTCCCCTCTTTCTCTCTCTAGATTCTCCTTTGCCGGCGACTCTACCAACAATGCCTTCACAGCCCTCCATTTCTATGTCCCATATATAAAGCCTTCATGCCTCACTCAATATTCCACTGATCACCTTCTTCTTCTTCTTCTTCTTCTTCTTCTTCTTCTTCATCATCATCGGACAGCTGAGTTTTCGTTTTTCGAATTTTGTGGTCGCCGGAGCAATGCTTGACCTGAACCTGAGCGTGGCGTCCTCCGACACGGCGTCGGATTCCGCCGAGAAGCTTCTCGAAAGCTCCTTCAGCTTCGACGACGACTACTACTGCTCCTCCTCCTCCGACGTCGATCGCGTTCGGACGATCGACCTCTTCCCGATCACCGGAGGAGGTCCGTCGGAGAAGGAGAAGAATTCTTCCTCGTCGTCGCGGAGGGAGTGGCTAGGGTTGTCGACGAATGCGACGGCGTCGTTCTGCGAGGGGAGTTTCGGAGGTCCGACGCCGGCGGCTGTGGCGGCTCCGCAACCGGCGGCGATGAAAAAGAGCCGGCGAGGACCGAGGTCGCGGAGCTCGCAGTACCGAGGCGTCACGTTTTATCGAAGGACGGGACGATGGGAATCTCACATCTGGTTTGTGATTGGCTGATGATGCCTCCAAAATTCCTTTCCTTCGAAAAAAGCAAAAGAGAAGAAAAAAAAAAAAAAAACCCCTCTCTCTCTCACACACACACACACACTCTCTCTCTGTCTCTCTGACTTTGCCATTCTCAGTCTTTTTTTTTTTTTTTTTGGTAGGGATTGTGGGAAGCAGGTGTACTTGGGTAAGGAAAAATTCTTCAGCTCAGATAAGATTATTATCGTTTTTGTTTCCTTTTGACAAAATTATTATCATCATTGTTCTTCTTATAATTAATTTTATTTAATTAAATATTATTATTTATTAATATTATTGCTTCTTATTTATGTTTCTCTTTGTTTTCTAAATTTGGTTTTTGTTCTCCTTTGACAAATGGATTTTTACTATTAATAAAGTACCATTACTATTGGTTTTGTTATCCTTCTTATTTACTATTAATTTTCTATTTTATTTTCCAGGCGGATTTGACACTGCCCATGCTGCTGCTAGGTGAACTTCTCACTATTTCATATTATTAATAAATTTAATGGTCTTTTTTTAATGGGGTTTTTTTTTTTGGAATTTGTTTTTTTGTGATCATATTCTCAGAGCTTATGATCGAGCTGCTATAAAGTTCCGTGGACTTGAAGCCGATATAAACTTCAATATCAGTGATTATGAAGAAGATATCAAGCATGTGGGTAACACATTTCTTGGTTTTACATGAATTATTACATCTTTCTTTCTTTCTTTCTTTTTGAGTACGGATTTTGAATCTTTCACAGATGAGCAACTTCAGCAAGGAAGAGTTTGTGCATATCTTGCGTCGACAAAGCACCGGATTCTCCAGAGGAAGCTCCAAGTACAGAGGAGTGACGCTGCACAAATGTGGACGATGGGAAGCTCGCATGGGCCAGTTCATGGGCAAAAAGTAAGAGAATCATTTTTTGTATTTCTTATATTAGTATTTTGTTTTTTGCGAAATCCACTTGTGTGATTTGTGGTTGAATGTTAATATCTCAAATAGAACTTAAGAAGTTTGTTTGGAGAGCTAAGAATATAATTATTGAGAATCCTTTTTTATTTTTGTACTAGTATTTAGTTTCTAGCATCCACTTGTGTGATTTGTATTATAATCTTATCTCATCTCGAAAAGAACTAAGAATATGGCTAAGAGCTTGCTCTTTTTCTTCTTTGTCTTGTTTTATTATTATTATTATTTTTTTTTTTTTGGTTGAGTTGGGAATTTGGTTTTTATTGGGTATTATAGTACTCATTGTTTGCAATTTGCATGCAGATATGTTTATCTGGGGCTATTTGATAGCGAGATTGAAGCTGCAAGGTCTTAACATTAAACTATGCCTTTGGAGTTTAAACTCTTTACCTCTTATATTCCTTATGCAAGTAATACGTTAATCTCAAGTGTAATTGGTATTTCTGAAACAGGGCATATGACAAGGCTGCCATGAAATGCAATGGAAGAGAAGCAGTCACTAATTTTGAGCCAGCCCTGTATGATGTCGAGATGATGTCTGAGGCCGAGTGTGAAGGTTCTGCGTCGCTAGATAATTCGTTTCTTTCGTAATTGTGTATAGTTTTCGCTTGTTTAACAATCTCTCATTTGATGATGAAATGCATTGTGGTTCTGCTGCAGGTGGCAACCAAAATCTAGACCTTAACTTGGGTATTGCGCCGCTTTCTCTTTCCAATGGCCCAAAGGAGAATGTTGAAACAAGTGGCTTTTACTTGGAGCAGGTTCATATGAGAGAAAGGGTAATCTTGAGATAGAACTTAAAGAACTTTTGTACCTTCCTCAGCTAGATTGTTTATACTTACTTTTGTATCTATATCTTCAAGATTTTTAGTTAAGTTGCTAGCATAGTAAGCAGTTTGTTATTCTCTTACAGATTGAGAACTTTTCCACCGCAAGGGCCAAAATGCCTCATGGCTCTAGAATTGCATCCGAGCATTGTTCTATCATCGGTGGCATGAACGCCAGTTTCTTTCCAAATGATATGGTAACTTAATCTTAAAGCTGCTAATTGTACAATTTGCCGAATGTTAAAACAAACTATATGCAAGTTTTGATTATATTATTGAATTCAAGTTACTGAATTGACACTTTTCACTATTTTTGTATTTGAAGGAAAGAGCAACAGAGAGGGGAGTGGATGTTGATTCTTTGCCAAATTGGGCATGGCAAATCCAAGGCAGAGCAGCTGCTCCTCCAGTGCCGGCGCCGCTCTTCTGTACTGCAGCATCATCAGGATTCCCTTCACCGTCAGCCACTTCACTTCCGTCATCAGCCGCCAATAGTCAGCTCCACTTTCCGAACCTGCCGATCCTCCATCACCATTTTCCACCATCAATTGCGAACACCACCAACTTGCCGCATTTCTATTGCAGAAGCTGAAACCACTAACCACTTTTGAGGTATGAAGCATGTTAGTGCGAACTTGACATCTTTGTAGTCTAACAAGGATAAAGAAACATTCCTAATTTGATTTTGTTCGCTCGTGAAGATTTGTATGGCTAATATTTTCTTCATGTAAAGCCTTGTCAAACTTGGATACCTTTTTTTTGTGGCATCAGAAAGTTCAAATGATGCTCCTTTTGAATGCTTTTGACTTTGAGATTTTTCTTGTGGTTGGTACCCATGTCCATTGAGGCAATTCAATAGTAAAGTTTTGGGTATATGGTAGTTCAACTTTCTCCACCTTTTCACCTTTGAGATGCCAATTACATTTCTATTTCTCATCTTTGACAAATTTCATCATTGTTTTTGTGACCTTATTGCTTAATGAGGATGGTAGAGATTTGAAAGCCTAATATGACAGACAATATTGGCAATCCAACAAGAGGAAAACTCGTGATTTACACATCTTGTTCCTTTTAAAAGAACAAAACCATAATCTTAAACTTAAGAGTACGTATAAATTGGGTTTTTACTATGGTACTCTCAAGAGGACTATATTTTCACATAGAAGCATAATATATAACATTTATTCAATATGATATGCACAAAAGGATGGGACTCTAAAAAAAATTAGTTATCCAATACTGTTATATATCTCTACAACATTAGTATTACGTTACATAAAATGTTATATTATATTTCTCATTGATTTATGTTACGTGAAAGTAGTAAAAACTAGAAAATAAGCACTATATAATATTTACACTAAGCAAATAAGTGCTTGGACATACAGTCGGCAACACATGCGATCCGTCACTCTAGGCATTTCCTACCAACTAGACACATGTCGTTCATACCAGAAAGCAAATCTCTATTCAATTCAAAAAATCAGGAAAGCTTTTCTGATGTGATCTCAACGCGTTTAGTTTGATGATTTAAATTTTTAATTTAAATTGAAATGTAATTTTATATGAGAATTTTTTATTGTAATAAAAAAATTAGATGTAACTGTTTTTGAGAATTTTTTACGGTAATAAAACTTAAATTCTAAACTTAAATGAGTAAAATAAATAAAATCTCAATTTTTTTTATTTTCAATCATTTAATGTAATTCTAACTTAATTTAACCGTCGAAACATTGGATTGATCTACCAAAAAAACTCTTTAAAATTATCACGAAGACTACAAAATGATGATATCGTTAAGAGTTAAATGATTTCAATTGCAAATAGTAAACTTTAGAAGAAAAAAGAAGAGCTGAAAGGTAAATATTTATGTTAGAATTAGCAAGTAAAATCTTTCATTATTCTTGCCATAGTTGCTAAAATGCCACGTGGAGAAGTTATATCTCATTACCATATTATATATTATATATTATATAAATATATATAATATTATTTCTCTCTCTGGATCCCATATTAGACGAGTCCGGATTCCTCGGCTTTTGCCAGGGTCCCTACTAAGCCTAGCTCTAGCTGCAATAATCTGAATATATGAGCAAAGCCTCTAAAAGCCTGGCGTACTTTTTACGTTTGAATAGTGAAAAAGATTGATTATTCCAGTAAGTTTCTGAATCTTTGTTGACCATTTTTCAGTTCCATTTCTCTTTATTCAATGCATGAGTTTTTAGCTTTCCACCCCTAGCATGAGCCATACTTACCTGCTCTATATAACGTACGACCTAAACTGAATCAGATGTCACAATCTTATCCTTTCACTTCTTTGGTTGGCTGAATGTTTGGTACATATAATTGAACCACAATAAACTTTCGGGCCTAGACTACTTATAATATATTTTTTAAAAATAATAAAAAATAGATCAATATAAAAAATTTAAAAAAGTATATAAGTTAATTTTTAATTATAAAAATTAATAGGTTATAACTTGTCAAGTTATGGTTCATAATCAGATAAGTTATGAATAAATTTATTAAGTTATGGTTCATAGCCATACAAGTTATGTATAAAAATCGTGAATTATGGACAATAACTTGTCAAGTTATGGTTCATAACCAGACAAATTATGGACAAAAACAGTAATTTAGCCTATTTATTAATTTATGTAAACTATTGACATATTAATTTTAATTCATCTCAAGTCTTGACCTATTTTTCTCTTTATTTCTATATTTTTTTTAAACGTTAGATTTAATTGAAATCACATTAAAATGTAAAATCTAATATAAACTATCAATATTGTATATTTTAAACGGTTAAATTTAATCGAAATCACATAGGGTGCTAAATATAAACTATTGATAGTGTATGTTTTTAACTATTAAATTTAATTAAAATCACTTTAAGATAATAATAGATATATAAAATAGACAATTCTAATAGAAATTTAATCTAACCGTTGAAAAAATAACTCTATCAATAATGTGTTTTCTTTAATATCTTATCGTAAATAGAAGAATCCTACATAAATGATTTATTAAATTGGTGATTTAAAACTATATTATATAGAATAATGTTATATGACACCAATAATATTAAGTACGACTTAATAATAAAAGAGATACATCTTTTTATTAATAGATGGTGTTTAATACTAGTGATCTTAATATAAACTACTGATAGTATATGCTTTTAACTATTGAATTTAATCGAAATCACCTTAAGATAATAATAGATATACAAAATGGACAATTCTAATATAAATTTAATCTAACTGTATTTTTTTAATATCCTACCGCAAATAGAAGAATCCTATATAAATAATTTATTAAATTGGCGATTTAAAATTATATATAATTGAATAATGTTATCTGACACCACCGATAATACTCTTATCCTATAAAATTCACAAGTGGGGTATGTTTTTTTATTAATAAATAGTGTTTAGTACTGCTTAGTTGCTCAAAGCATTTTATATTCAATCGATTTGTTGTATTTTCATTCACTGCCATTAATCGCATGCAGGCTTGGAAAGTGAAGTGTTTTTGTCGACTAGTAAGTTCTGTAATTTTCATATAATACATAATGGAGTTTCCCCGTCGGGTATTACAAGGAAGTATTGTAATGGCTGCCTTTGATGTCTATTGAATAATCATTTTGATTCATTTTGTCTTCTGGCTTGTTTGTTGCTTCTTCTCATATCCCTCTTTTGGGCGTGTGTTTGTGTGAGCCCCCACTCTTTGCTTTTCTTTTCTGCTGATAATATGATGAATACGACATTGGTGGTTTGCTTTCTTTTTTTTTTTTTTTTTTTTTTACTTTTGACCTTACAAAAAACTTTAACTCAGCTTTTTACTAAAAGTAAGGTTATTTTATCGATTTAAATTTTTAATTTTAATATTATTGTAGTTAAAAATTTTTATAAAAAATTAAATTTAATTTTTTATTACAGTAAAATTTTTTTATAAAATTATATCTCAGTTTAAATTAAAAATTATAATTGAGATATAATTTTATGTGTGAGTTTTTTACTGTGATAAAAAAAAGTTAGATGTGATTTTTTGTAAAAATTTTTAATTATAGCAGTATTAAAATTAAAAACTCGAATTAACAAATTGAACAAAGTCTGAGAAATCAACTTTTTATTAATTTGGCGTTTTTTTTTTGGGGGGCAAACTATTATCCTATTCATATGGGGTGGGTTGCCCTTTGTGGGCAATTCTTTTGGACTCTTTAAAACATAGTAATTGCTATTTTGTCGTTCTTTGTTGTTCTATAAGGGAAGTTCATTTAGTGGACGTTTTAGTTTATGAATTTAAAATTGTGATTTATAATTATTCTTGTTTTATGTGTGTTTTTTTGTGAAAAAAAATACTATAGAAAATTATGAATCATGATTTAGAATCAAAGATGAATACACTAAACAAACATCTCCTTAACGTTTTGAGTACATGCTATGTCTACTGAGTTTGAGCCAAATGTCATTCTTCTTTTCACATTTATCTTCCAAATACATTCTTCTCATAATTTATTTCAACTATATGCCATACTTAGTATGATAATAAAGAAACTAAATGACAATTCTACGATACCACTGTCACATTTCTAGTGGATTGTGTCATTTTGTATACTATTATTTAGGTATAATTTTAATTACATCTAACGTTTAAAAAATGTACACTATCGGTGAATATAACTTGCCATTAAAACTCCTAAAATAATAGAGATTATTTGTTTTGATTGAGATAAAGAGATAATGATGTTGGATAAAATCTCGTCAAAGTTAGGGAAAAAAAAATAAAAATAAAAATAAAACTAAGCCGTAGTCATCAACATTACTCATATTTAAACAATTAAAAATTTTCATATAAATTATACACATCTGACATCCCTTCTCAATCATAATCTGCTGTCTATGGCAATATATAATTAATTGAACCATAGAATTAATCACTCTCTTGACGATACATTGCACTTTCAAAATTACTAATCTCGTGTTCTTTTACAACAAATCGCGTTTAAACTTACTTCCATGACTTAGTAAAAAATGTACAAGGTTTTTTAAGGATAAAATAGAAAAAAAAAATAACTTTATGAGGAGGAATAAAACAAAAATTAAAATCTTAAACGCAATTATAGTAATTTCTTATCGAAAAGATTTCTTTAACAAAAGACAAATATAGTATATTAAAGTTCCGTTTATTTTAACAATTTGAGTTTAGAATTCGAGTTTTGCTACAGTAAAAAACTTTAAGAAACAGTCACGTCTAATTTTTATGCTACAGTAGAAAATTTTCACATAAAATTACATCTTAACTCGAATTAAAAATTCAAATCAACGAAC